TCCCGCCCAAGTCACTTCTCATATCCGGCGAAGGGATAGTTACTAGTCCCACTTCTCACACTCCATGGGTTGCGTAGTTGCCGAAATCACGATGAATCTAATTTAGGCGCTTGTTGGATAATAAATGCCAATACAAAGCTACGGTGTTTGTCCGCATATGAATCCGTTAACAGGGGAGTGCAAGTGGCTATCTGGAAGATCAGAGCAATTCTGCTAAGACAATCCCTAAAAGCAGCGAGATACGCACTACTTATTGACATATTTTTGACGTGTACCTCAAGAATCAAACAATCATTATTTTTTTATGTTAGAGCATAGTGAGAAACCGGGATGGACTGTCTATCAAGTGAGGACAAACGACGACATGACTACTTCATCAAAATGATTGAGGCTCGAAGCACAGAGTTCAGAAACACTCATCGTATCTTACTTATTGGAACAGGTGAATCGGGCAAATCAACATTTGTAAAACAGCTCAAGCTGTTGAGTTCACCCAAACAGACCTTTACAGAGGACTATCGAGCTCGATTCATTCCCGAGATTCAACGAAACGTTGTGCAGGCTCTAAGCAACATTGTCAGCTTTATGGTTCTGGAGGATATTCCATTTGCAAAAAATAAAAAGAAACTGGACGGCGCGAAGAAAGTCATTATAAAGGCTTACGCTGAAGTTCACATTAATCCAGACAACATTAACGACTACACCAATAATCCAGATACGGCGAAGAGAGAGGAGTTCTACGATCAGTGCGCCATGCTTTGGGAGGATGAGGCTGTCAAGGAGACGCAACTGCGGGGCAACGAGTTTCAGCAAATCGACTGTGCCCAGTACTTCCTGGATAAACTGGAAACCATCAGAGCGTCTGGTTATAAGCCTACAGACGAGGACATTCTTCAATGCCGCACCAAGACCCTGGGGATCCACACGGAATCCATCCTCTACAACAACGTGCCCTTCGAGCTGGTCGATGTGGGTGGTCAACGAGAACAGCGAGCGAAGTGGATAGAGGCCATGACGGATGGAGTAACAGCGGTCATCTTTCTGACTGACGTATCTGCCTGGGATAGGATGTTGGAGGAGGACAATACGGTGAACAGACTGCGTGAAGCCTATCATCTTTTCAGACAGGTGTGGACTAAGAGCCTCCTTAGGGACAAATCTTTCATCCTTTTTCTCAACAAACAGGACAAACTATCCGAAAAGATTCGATCAGAAAGGAACCCAATCTCAAAGTTCTTTCCCGAGTATGAGGAGCAAAAGTTCAACTTCACGGTAGAACTACTGTCCGAGCTAAAGGCCTCGAAGGAGAAGAAAAATAAGGATGATAATGAAATCTGGGACAAGCATTTCTCCTACTTTTTGCCGCCTAAAGACGATGGCGCCGACTGGAAAGACGAGGACAAAAATCCGATGGATACTCAGGTTATGGTTGAGTATGGTCAAATCCAAAGTATCGTCTCAAAAGCTATGAATGACGGTGGCTTCAACAACTGGGTCCTCACTGGTGAGGACCAGGAGGCGGTGATTAAAAATCTGCTGGAGAGGGAAGATTTCCTGAACTTGAATGAGAGACTGTTTGCTGTGCCCCTTTTCCGTATAGTGGCTACTACACACTTCATCAAAATGCTCTTCCTCAATGAATGCGAACAGAGCAAAACACGCAGAATCTACCCCTACCCAACCACTGCTATCGACAAGAGGAACGTTGGTCGCGTGTTCGAATCCTGCAAGGAAATCCTCCAGGGCAAGGCGTTGACTGAAATAATGATTTGATGAACTGGATTATAAATGTATATCGAAACTTATCTCCTGTTTTCCTTTTATACCCACGGTCAGCCCAAGCAAGAGTACGGCAACTCCTAATTACTGATAGACTACCAGTAGGAAGTTGCCCCGAAATTTGACCGGAGGATAATTATTGCATACTTGTTGTGGCACGACTGGCTTTAAAGGTCTTTTGCCTTTGACCTGTATCAATAACCTACTTTTGCTTTTTCAGTAACCTGACTTTCCCTTTTTGCGTTAATTTCCACCAATAGGAGGTCGAATTTCCCTCAATTGGCATCCACATCCTGCGCAACAGGAGTTTATGTTGATATAATTTTATCCTATTTTAGTATATTGAAACAAATATATTTAATTTAATATTTTTGATCACTTGCGCCGCAATTAAATATTCATTTACATCCACTAGCCAACAATTAAATGTTTGACCAAAAGTGCGTTAGGCAGTTTGGCGGGGGAATAGATATTTAGAGGGCCCTTCAAGTCAGTTTTGCCCTTGTTGCATTGTAAGTAAGCTTCATCTATTCACGCAACATGGCCGATCAGAATATAAGCAGTTGTTAGAAAACATATTTGCTACTAAAGCTTATTAAGTAGCTGGAGTAAGTTACTTGTTTACTGATAATGTAGGTTATTGACTAAGATTGCAGATAGGTCTGAGTGGCGTACAGCTAACCGTGCAGCTCAGCCTTGCTTGGTGTTCAATGAAACCGTACCCGATAAATGCTTTGGCGACGCCTGATACGGTCAGTGAACGATTTGCTAGGGGAACTTCATTACGTGTTGCTTGCTACTCTACATGCAAAAGTAACACATAATGCGCAATTGCATGTGTGGTGTTTATTACTATTTAATTGACACTTTGCTGACTTGCGCACACATGGTTTAAATCGGACGGTAGCTCATGGTCTACGCGGTTACCCCTGCGTTCTCATTAGTTTCTTACGTAAAACGCAGCCTTATGCCTCCGGCGCTTGAGGCACCCAAAGAAACAAACGCCAATTATATGGATTCTTTGCATTATGTCTGTTCGATTGCTTTACAGTTACGAAAATATTCATTCAAAAGTTCAAAGGTTAACTGGGCGAGCATATGTTTGCTTTTGATAAATTCTCTTCAACCCAATACATTTATATGGCCATATACACAATTAAAGTATGCAGGCAAATGGAAACAAGATCATGCTGTAGCTATGTTGGAGGTGGGGAACAAAATCGCAGTCAGTGGCTTCTGATCTGTATCTGGAAAGGGTAACAATATGCGGGCGGTGGACTTGGCACCTTTGGGCCATGGCAAATGCGGGGTCTGCCTGGTGCTCTTCTGCGCGCAGGACTGGTTTTTGTAACTTGATTGAAACGGCCTCTGTCGCGGCAAACAAGCACAGTCCAAGTGATGTTTGATGGGTTAAGGGGCCGTTCTAAATCACTCGGAAGGTCTCGCTGGCGCCTACAGTGTGGTCTGCGTCTAACCTTTGCGCGAGAATAGAGCTGTTAAAGTTCGTTGTTTGGCCCCTTTTAACCATGTGGTTGCCACCCGCAAAACCCACGATTTTATACAATTCAATTTGATATTTGATCTAGTACTGTTGCGGCAGGTCAACTTAACGGAGTGGGTAAACCAAAAACAACTTTAAAGAAAAATTGAATAGGTGCGAGGCTTAATAATCCCCCCTAATTTATAAGCATCATCATTCAGACTTGCGAAAATGCCAATGGAAAGATTAACAGGGCCAGGTTATGAGCATGCATGTGTTTTAGGCAAATCATCGTTAGCTGTCCAAAAAATCCGGACCGTCCACAGCAGTAGCTCGCAGTGTTTCCTGTGATCTGTCTGCAATTTCTTTGCAATAGTCTTTTAGCTCTTTGCTGCCTCTTCACTGTTGGTGACTGCCTCTTTGTTTGCGAGACAGTACGTTTCGTGGAGTCCAGAACCAGTCATGTTCTTCATCACCACAACTTCAGATAAAAGCAGACAGTCTGAAAGGATCTTAACCGAAAATCTATCGCAAGGGGTTAATTGAGTTAAAACCTGTCAACTGCGATCTTCAGACCGGTGCCTCAAGAGAGGATAGAATTCATGGGAAGGCAAGAGTAGTAGGAAGGGTATATTCTGTAAAGAACGAATGGGAGAATAGGCAAGTGGAAATTGACTGTCAGACGGCCGTACAACCGCAGGCCAAAGGACGGCGTCTGAGGTGATGCCTGCTCGACAGTTGTCACATGCGGTACTGTGTGAGTCGGCCTGTGATTGGGTGTGCCAGAAATTGGAAGCAGCAAGCCTTCTCAAAGTGCACTTTGACTTAAGCTAGTCACGACAAGCGTTCACAAAGGCACGTCGTGTGGAGCTAGTCACTAAAAATCCATCAGTTTGGCATGGACAGAACACTGGAAGATGCAGCGCACTACAATGTACGGAATTGAGACGCGAGGATTCAGTAACTGAAGTGGCTGATAGTAAAGGCTGAGTGCAAATTTTCGAAGGCTGCATAAATTTCCAAATGCGCAGGAAACTCAACTTACTACGTGGGCAGAGTAAAACATCACTCTAGCAGGCCTTGACTGCCTTATCGTCATGTGACAAACGCGTGAAAGAGTTGACGCCTGTTGACCGCCGGCAAGGTCCTTGTGATTGTGCGATAGCAGTTTCAC